CATATATTATATTTGTGGTCGGGGCCATTTCAGTATAGTATGAAATAGCTAGAGAGTATACTTATCACAATAATCAAAAAGTCGGTAGAGGTGTGCCGAAACCGACGTGTGTGATAGGCCTGTAAGTAACTGGGCAAAAAGGAATACCCATATAGTGTAATCTAAGATGTTTATTACGAAACCACAAGACATGGAGTTAGCGTATTACGGTGACATTACACAAATGCATTCCTTAATTCCTGTGTCGGCTGAGGTAAGTGTTGTTGGTGGGGTAGTACTGAATAAGTACCTCGTGACCCCTCTGGCTGGAAGTAGTTGATGGTAAGTTAATGAGAAGTGATCCTGTATTTGTACAGGTTAGAATACTGTAGGCAAAGCTTGGAATCGTGTTGCCCTATGATGGTAAATTCTCTGATCGTGGGAAACCATAAAAGCCAAGTATATGGCCATTTTTGAGAATGGTGTTTGTAACTGAAAACATGTGGCAGTGAATGTCCGGGAGATATAACTTAATGGTCTTGTGTGATATTGTTTTGATGTGGCAAAAAGTGTCGAAAGCCCCCCAACGTTGTATACTTGAACCAGTTGTAAGGTGGTGATCTGACATGACCTTCGATATGTGCAGTAAACTCTGTGTAGTAAACTAATGTCTAACTTCGTCTGGCCGCCTACTTCATAGCCAACTGTCCCCTGAGGTTGCAGCAAACTCTGTGTAAGCCATTGCATCGGGGCGACAACATATGTGTATGAACCTAGTTAAAGACATATATATGTATAGGGAAGAGATACCTAACTATATTGAGCCTAGGTGAGTTCCCGCTGGGCGTCTTTCTGCTAGAAGAACCTGAAATGTGTATGAAGTATGTTGGACATTTTAATTTACCAGCAGGAACTAATATTGGAGATTGCGTAAGTGTCTGTGACTGGAGTTGTACATGACGAGAACGGTCGTATAGTGAGGATTTGAGCGGTCTAACGTGACCTTGGTCGTATATGACTGCCCAACTGAGGGGCTGAATTGAGTCGTAGTGGATTGCCCGCAGTGGGTCGTATGTAACGTGAGAGTGATGGCCTAGTGAGAGCCATGTGTAGAGGCATGCTGTGGTAGGTTGTGGCAACGTGATAACTTATGTCAAATTGTAATTCCTATGCTGTATGTAATAGCCCACATGAGGAGCCGATATCATGCTATAGTGGATAGCCCTTTGGCGGGACGTATAGTGAGGATTTGAGCGGTCTAACGTGACCTTGGTCGTATATGACTGCCCAACTGTGGGGCTGAATTGAGTCGTAGTGGATTGCCCGCAGTGGGTCGTATGTAACGTGAGAGTGATGGCCTAGTGAGAGCCATGTGTAGAGGCATGCTGTGGTAGGTTGTGGCAACGTGATAACTTATGTCAAATTGTAATTCCTATGCCGTATGTAATAGCCCACATGAGGAGCCGATATCATGCTATAGTGGATAGCCCTTTGGCGGGACGTATGTAACGTGTAAAGAGTCTGGTTGTGAATAAAAGTTGGCAGGTATGATAAGGTGATGGTTGACCCTGTAAGCTGGCATTGCTCAAAAGCCTGGATGCTGGGTAAGGCCGTACAATAGGCATTGAACGTGCCTGGCTAATGTGGTAACTCGTACCATGGTTGCCCGAGCAGTCAAATAGCCAGGGAAGCGGGAAGGACAGTATACATATCATGTATATGAACTCTTCTAATATGCGGTGGTGACGTGGGAATAGTCCAGTATGGAATGGTTATGTAAGCACGATGGCGGCTGACTAGTATGGTCGACCCAGGGAAACCTAAATGCCCCACATGTTAATTAAGTACAAGTCATAATGTATGTGGCATATTGCACGCGTCGTAAATTGACAGTATGCTAGACTGACTTAGTAAAATAAGAGAGGTAAGGAGAACATCTCTTATGAGGGAATTATAACATACTGTGCGTTTGGCCAGGAGTAGGCCGTGTAGGTAGTGTCGTGAGGAGAGTTACTGTGTGGCAGTATGTGGACGGTGCAAGATATAGCAGATGTATAATACTATAAGATTTGGTTGATTACAGATAGAAAGTTGTGAGAAAGCTGAACTTTACGCATATATTCCTATCCAGATGATATGTGAACTTAGTGCCCAAATGAGGGGTTGCAAATAAGATGTAATTGTCCACTAAGGTTCCTGAAGTATGTTGCAAAGGCCCTTAGATGGCTTTGTGTGAGGACTATGTATAAGAGGTTGAGAGAGGCCCACTGCAGTTGCGGTGGTATTGGGAGGTAACGCAAGTCTGAGTGGAATTTAATGGGGAGGGGTTGGTGGTTTATTTAAGTTGTAGATCAGTTGAAAGTTACTGGTTATGACGGCGTAGCTATAATTGAAATATGGTCATACTGATATCGTAACATAACTTTCAGCGTAACATATGATCGTTGTAGGGTCTACATGGGGAACATGATAGGTGTTGAAATGCCATACCTAAATATACTATATATGTGCTGAGTCCAATGACCTGACGGTAGACATACTGGACACAATTGCCAGTAGTATAGGCTGAGTCCTGTGACATGCAGTAGTGTCTGTACTGACACAAGACCATGAAGGTTATAACTATACTGATGAATAATTGTACTCCGTCTTGTGTCTCTGGCCTTAAGGACCACTGAGATAACACCCTAGGTGTATGAGCGGTACTCTGTGACATCCCGGGAGGCAATGAGCTTGGAATAGAAATGTAAATTCCTTCTTCCGGACCTTGGGAAATATATGTATATGGGAATTATGAGTTCTCTTGAGGGTGTATACAGTTGTTTATACTAGTGCCAAAACAATATGTTAGACTGGTGACAGGTGAATCCCTACTAGTTGCCAAGTGGCTGGGTCGCCTCTACCTATGGTTGGCGCGAGGGGTGTGATCTGTTGGATATGAACTTACAAAGAGTGTTTCTTTGGTTTGCGGAGGGAGTGTGACAAGTGATTCCCTTGCTATGCAACAAGCGAGGCGTCTAGCTATGATTTGGCCCGTGGGGCGTGATTACCTCTATCGTGGAGGATGGGTGTTGGCCTCGCAGGACCTCTATCTCTAAGGCATAAGGTGCCTGGGAGAAATACCTAGGTGGCCATGCCAACTTGTCTTATGGAACAAATCTTTATACTAAATTAGTGTTTAAGGAACCGGGAGAAACGTACCTGTATGAACAAGGTATGCTCAGTGTTTGCAGTAGTCTGAGATTCTGCTAAAAGGGGGGTGGCCTCAAACAGATTATGGATGACAGACTGGCAGGCCTTGGGTACATATGAGTTTGTACTCACCTGCCGCTGCAGAAAATCCTCAACGACCGTATTGTGTGCGTACGGTATGGTCACCTACCAATACCTTTGGATGACGTAAGAATTGTTCTGGTACATCACATATACTATGGGATCTGATGAGCCAATTCTGTCTAAGTTTAGTTTGTTGAGTCTGTAACATATGTCAGAATAAGTTACGGCAGTACGGTAAATGTCTGCTCGGTACCGTTTGTACCCAGCGTATATTTATGTGCTTGTGCCCTGAGTGCCGTACGATGTCTGAGTAATGAGCGCATGATTGTGACGAATCGTGCCCGTACCAATGTAAGGATATGATTTGAACCTTATCCCTGATACCAACTGCACGTAACAGTTTAAGCCAGACACTTCTTGCGTTATAACTAGGTCTATGAACACGAAGGTAGACCTGTATAACAAAATTACAAAATATTGGCCTGGCAATACCCCTGAAGCATGCCTTGGAGATTAATTCCATATTACCCGTAGTGCTAACAGTTGTTCAGTCATCTGTAAAGACATTGAATTACTGCATATGTACACAGTGATTGTCACGGGTAATAAGGCCACCAGGTGGCGTTGTGCTGTCCTTAGGTTGCCCATAATAAGACAACCCAGAATAACCTTATATTTCCATAATGCTTAAATGATGAACAATTATGAGTATGCACCTTGTGTGTAGAAACTGAGTATCACTCACTCAATGAGGCCTGGATGGCTGAGAGTGGTGAGCTTGGGACTGCCCCCTTGCTCATGCCCCTCTGCCGTGCTTAATGAGGCAGGTGGAGCTTGAGCCGTGACCGCTCATAGCTGGCAGAATAGCCCGGCGTATACTATGGAGGGAGTGTACCCTGTGAAACTCCTCCCCGTGTGGGGGGGGAGGTGTAGTTATGAATACATGACTTGTCAGGTGCTGTTTATAATTTAATGACATGGGAGGTGCAGTTGAAGGCGATTCTATTTATCGATTATATACTCCGTTATTACAGTAATATCTATTATATTATATATGCACTTGACTAGAAATGTGTAATGTGACTTCCCCTTTAAATGCCTGTGAGTGACTGTGCTGCCCCTAGAGGTTACAGCCTGCTTTGCCATTTGTAATGCTGAAAACTGGACGTGCTTTATGGCAGTAGCAGACTTGAACCTGTAGAGGGAGTTCCAGCCGGGTGAGTGATTTCCCTTCTGACGGGTAAGTAAGGCCCATCGTGGGGGGGGGGGGTGATGAGAGTTGCGATCCAGCGCAACGCCGCCGGTGAACACCCACGGTGTGCGAGCTGTATTTCCCCCCTCCCCGGTGCAACTCTGCTGTGCACCTGCGGTCTGGGGTGGGTGGGGGACCCGATCCGTTGAGCCCTCCACGCTGTTGCTGGGGGGGGGGGTTGGATCTGTCTGAGCCCTCTGTGCTGTCGCTGGGGGGAAGGGGGGTTGGACCCGCTTGAGCCCTCCGTGCTGCCGCTGGGGGGGAGGGAGGGCTGGGCTAATCTGAGCCCTACGAGCTGTCGCCGGGGGGCAGGGGGGGGGGCTGGACTCGCCCGAGCCCTCCGTGGCATCCGCCACTGGAGGGGGGGGGCAGGGGGGCATTCACTGTGTGGCATGTCGCCTGGCGACCGGGCAAACCTGCCCATGTAGCGCATGCGTGCAGTACCCCCGTGTGTGCCCTGTAGTAGTGGGCCCCAGCGGACCAGGCCAAACCTATGCTGCAGACCGGCAAACAATACTGGTCTGCCCACTCACCGCCAGGCGAGAAAACGAGCGGGCTGGGCAGCAGAGAATGTCAGCGGAGCGAGGCAGCCGGCGAGCTGTCAGTAGGAGCTGATAACTGTAACTGCCACCACTCAGGGAAACCGGAAGTCCAGAAGTACGTCTGGACCGGTAGGTAAGTTTAGGTAGGAGGGGGGAGTCCCTTTTAAAGGGACATAGCCCCTCCCACAACTTCAGGCCCTGCCTTCCAATATATGCCTGATCCTGATGAAAGTCCCTGCTGGGACTGAAACGTTGATCTTTTAATGGATACTTAATAAATTGTTAATTTTAATTCTTGAAAATCCGTGAGTGCTGATCACTATCTGAATTTATTTGAATTTTCCTGGATTACAAGCACCTGGTTATTAAATCATCCAAACGTGAGTGCAAGGACTTTTCTATTTTTGATAGAGATATATATATAGGTAAGTGTGTGTTTATTTTTATGTTTACGCATTGTTTATGCACAGCCTCCTTAAACACTTCCTCTAACGAGAACCTTTCTTTATTGTACATGTTGTTTAATTTAGAATTTATCTCCTGCTCGGTTAATTTCCTTCTAGACCTTGGCGAAGCCTCCTGTGTGTGATTAAAGCGGCACTGTCATGGCCACATCCATGGTGTTTTGTTTTTTTTGGGTTTTTTTTTTAACCCCCCTTCCCAACTGCAATACATTTTATTATCCCCCTAGTAATCCCCAAATACCCCTAGGCCCCACGTTTTTACTTTTATTTTTTTTAACACTTTATTTCATGCCTGGACTTAGGTCCTAGGTGCTGCCATCTTTATGTGGGCAGATAAAGGCCCTGCGGAACACGTCACATCTGCCCACACTAGATAGGGCTATGAAATTCCTGCACATGCCTAGTTAAACATTTGGGCATTCACTATTGACCGAAATTCGGATGGGAATTTTGTCTATTTATACCTCAGAAAGACAAATGAATAAATAGAAATTTCAAACGAACGAAGACCTCTTGGGTGGGGGACAGTAGGTCCCCCCTCCTTTTGTTACTTAGGGTCTAACAAAAGGAGGAGGGACCTAATGTTATTTTCTCCCCCACCCAAGAGGTCTAAGTTCATTTGAAAGCTATAATCTTATGTCTAATAATTGGTGCCTTAAAGGGGGTATTGTGCTTGGCATCTCCTGTTGCTGTCTTGTCTTCTAGTGTTAAATGGAGTTTGAATGGTAGAACACTGAAGAAGTGTCTCCAAGCACCAGTCTGTCGCTATTTTTTGACTAATGTCCGAGCCTTATCTTGATCATTGAAGGGGCGGTAGTGATAAACAGGGAACATAAGCCGACACTCTCAGCCTATCACTGGCTGTCAGTGGCGAGTAAAGTTTAAAAACAAAAAGGAACATACGTTCCAAGCTTTCTCAACCCGAAGTAGTGAATTCTGCCCTGTGCATGTGTGTGATATGGCCGCTTATATCGCTGGTAAAACTCATCCACCTTCCAGGGTGTGATTTCGGAGGGAACGAGGGTTGGACATAGGAAAGGTGTTGAGGGTTGCATGGAGGGAAGGAAGCGAGAGTGATGTTCAGAGCTGCCTGCAATTGAAGACGTTAATTTGGTTTGTGAACACTGCTCAATGCAAGCTGATAGCGGATGTTTTTTAAGCACAAAGCTGACATTGGTCAGTCCGGAATAGACTTGTGGCCTAACTAGGAGGAGGAGGTGACACAAATCTAGTCATTTCTCTGTATAGGCAATGTTTCCAGATTGCTTGCACCATGAGGATATCTTCATTGTGTGGGTTATCTGCTCTGTACCAATTCCTGATGATTTCCCGGTCAGTTTCTTGGTTCACTGGAGAGAGTTACTTCTGCGGGAGGTAGCAGGGTCATCATTGTGAGGAGACCCACTACCCAGCTAATATGGGGGTTGGTAGGCAAATGGTAAGTATTTACACATATTGCATTGGTGTTGTATATCTGTCTAATAAAGATATTTGAGGTTTGTAGAGAGACTGGGCATTGTAAACTCCAACGAGAGAGAAGCTTTATTGGAGTGCCATAACAAGCCAGGCTGTTAACGCTGTTCTCTTTGGATGCTTTGAGTGCCTGTTTTCTACATACTTTGTGTAGGGGTTGTGTGCGCCACAAAATCTGGTCCAGTCCCTGTGTGTTGTCTCCTCCTGGTTGCAAATAAAGACATTTGAGTCTACTTACAATTACCTGAAGATATGTAGAGATTTCTTGAGGCTTTAAAGAAGTGCAGTGATGGACCCTCAATAGGAGATTGACAGTCTGTTTGGTTTTTTTCACCGTCAGAAAGAACACACTGGGCGACTGGTAATTGGAGATCACAAATCTACGTCCCACTTCCGATCAGGTCAGTATTTATTGCTGACTTCCTCCAGATATTGTGTGATGTTCTGTGAATGCGTGTTGTGTCCTTGATCAAGATGCCAGACGGATTAGCTGGTTTATTTGGTATAGAATATCAACCATATTAAGGTCTCCCATATGTTGGTAGAATATGAAAAAAATGCCCTAATGTTAATGGTTGCTGCTTTGACCATTTAGCACAAGCTTTTGAGATCTTGAGACCACAGAAAGAAAGACATTTTGTGTTTGAGGCTTGTGACTTGTTAATGCACTGCTGCCACCTAGTGGTGGTCCCTGTGACTGCTGTGAGGTTTGTAATGCAATGTGTTGTACGCACAGGGTTAAAATGTGATGGGCTCCAGAGGCTTCACCTCTCGTACTCCAAGCCCTACACATTGCACACACCGCCAAGCGGGATCTGTTATAATACTTTCCGTGCCACGGAACTAGGAAAGGTTAAATTTGGTGGACTTTTTTCTTTTTCCAAGCTCACCAACTATGTAACTAGGAATTCCCCATAACCCACGTACGCTGCACATGCAGGTGATGAAGATAAGAAAATAAACGACGCGCTTGAATACCAGTTTCAGCAAAGCATGGACAGCACAATGACTGGGCGGAACCGGCGGCATTGCGGCCTGGGATTCAGCGAGGTAAGCCTCAGCCTAAAGCTTTCTTGTATTAGATTTCCTATGCTAGTAGCCAGACTTTAGATTACTGGTCACTGCCAGCCCCGAGAGTCGATGGCACAATTACTAACGGGGGATTTTTACTCGACAGAGCCCTGGTTTATTATTAAATGGGTCTCTAAAAGGTCTGCACGTAACGTAAATATTTGTTTAAATCTTGGTTTGGAGTCGATACTGGTTCTGTTTTATCCCATAGTCACACTTAGAGGAACATTCTTACCAGAAAAAAGAAGGGCTTATTCACTAAACAATGGCTTGTGGTAAAATGAAAAGAAATGGCTATTTTGGCTTAGATTGTGTAAGTTCTTTCAGTGCACTGTTGATTGAATGAGTGGGCCACTCCCCCCTGCATTCTGGGCCGCTCCCCCTGAGCGTCCTTATATTACACCCTATGTAAATTAATTTAAATGTATTCAGCAATGTCTGAGAAAACTCTTCATGCAGTTCAGTTAATCAAAATGTACTCCCTACAGATACACCTGCCCACTGCGGCTTTGGTTTCCAAGAGTCCCAGCGGTTTGACACTTACCTGGGGCCTGCTGTCTGGTCACCTCTTCAAAGATGACTAATGGAGTCTGTGTTCTATATCTCTCAGGGCTTGACAAATTTGTTTGGAATCTAGGAGCCAGCTAAAAAAGTTAGGAGCCAGTCAAATTCTTAAAGGGACACTATAGTCACCAGAACCACTACAGCTGGATGTAGTTGTTCTGGTGTCTATAGCCTGTCCTTGCAGGCATTTCAGTGTAAACACTGCCTTTTCTGAGAAAATGCAGTGTTTACATTGCTGCTTAGTAACACCTCTAGTGACAGTCACTCAGACGGCCACTAGAGTGTCTTGGGTCACTGCTGCACCACGTGCAGCACCCACTTTCAGTGTCTCCAAGCTCTGCATGGAGACGCTGAATGTTCCTCATAGAGAGTCATTAATTAAATGCATCTCTATGAGGAGATCCGGATTGGTACATTTCCTGCGCATGCAAAAAATCTTCACAATGCTTTCCTAAGGAAAGCATTGGCTTAGCTGAGATCATAAAGATTGATAATCTCAGCCACGGAGGTGGTACCAGCCATGCTGAAACTGACACAGCGTGGGTAAATGGGGGAAAAGGTGAGTAAAAACATCTTCCTCATGCAATCGGAGGGTGCAGGTACCTAAACGTGCACACATACTCTGACAGGCTCACATACACACTCGCGCTGACAACAGGCACGCACACACACACACACACACACACTGACTGACTGGCGCACGCGCACACACTCACTTAAAACAGGTGCACACACGCAAACGCAGTCTGACATGCTTATACACTCACTTTTTTGTTTTAATTGAACTCCACTCAGCCTCCCTACCTTTGAGAGAGCTGAGTGGGTCTTCTCCTGGGGTCCAGTGGGGCTGCTCTCTTCCTGTGTGCGAGGGAGCAATACTCTGCCTGTAGCTCCTCTCTGATCCCTGCACGCTCTCTGTAATGATGCCAGGGACGGAGTAATGATTCTGGCTACCGGCATCATTACACAGCACGAGGGAGCAGAGAGCAGCTACAGGCAGAGTATTGCTACCACGGCCGGCTGGCTCCATGCTGCCTTGACTGGCCGGCTCCATGCTCCTCAGGGCGGCCGGCTGCCTCCATGCTCCTCAGGGCGGCTGGCCTCCTGCCTCCAATATTGTCCTGACGGCCGCCAACAAAGTTCCCTCGGCGGCCACACTAACTAGAGAGCTGGCAAATCTCGATTTGTCGGACCCGGATATATCTATTTATCATATTGTTTCTTTGGAAATTAAGAATTTAGTTTTAGCACAAGCTTCTTGAACTTTTTATGTTATGTTTCAAATGTACTATGATATATTTTTTTTATATATTTATATATATATATATATATATATATAATACAATTTATATTTTTTTGTACCATGTATTAAAGATTGAAAGTCCAGATGATAAAGTTGCAGCACTGCCTGAAAATGTCCCTGGAACAGAGCCTGCATCAATGTTCAGCAATCGGAGTGACAGTGACAGCGAAAGCCACAGTGATTCTAGCTCGGAGAGCGAGGAGTTAAAAAAAACGACGACAAAAGAGAGCAAGAGTGTTTCCGAGGAGGAGAAAGAGAGCAAGAGCAGCTACAAAATGAAATTTGTCAAATCAAGTGTCCCCTAAGCTCCTGTTTATTGTGGAAGGTATTATATGGGGCCTCTCTCTAGCTAATTTTTACATGTTAGTCCTTTGTGTGGCCACTTTCACAGACTCCTGTGGGTACTCGCTGATCTCCGCTAAACAAACAGAATAGTGGATAACACACAAATCTGTATAACTTGCCTCTATGAAGGGTTAAAATGTAATACATTCTCTCTGTTAACCTCCAGGTGGCAGCACATTTAGACGATTGAGGTATCAATAGTATCCAGACCTTCCATTTAAAATAAACACGGGTAGTGTGTGCACATCCCCGATTTATGTCTGTACTGGGAGGCACGCACACCTTGTTTTTACACAGGCTGTTTGAAGGAAATGATTTTGAATGAAATACAGAAAGAACCGTCACTTTTGTTTGGTTTATATATCCCTGGAAGATGTATTGTTCTTGATAAAGCTTTGAAATCTGTTGTAGATTGTCTGGTGACCAGTTTGTAATGTGTGCGATTCTGATGCAGAGCAATGAGACAACAGATTAAAGGACCACTATAGTGCCAGGAAAACATATTCGTTTTCCTGGCACTATAGTGCCCTGAGGGTGCCCCGACCCTCAGGGTCCCCCTCCCGCCCGGCTCTGGAAAGGGGAAAGGGTTAAAAACTTACCTTTTTCCAGCGCTGGGCGGGGAGCTCTCTACTTCCTCTCCTCCTCTTCTCCTCCTCCTGGACTGAATGCGCACGCGCGGCAAGAGCTGCGCGCGCATTCAGCCCGTCGCATAGGAAAGCATTTACAATGCTTTCCTATGGACGCTTGCGTGCTCTCACTGTGAAAATCACAGTGAGAAGCACGCAAGCGCCTCTAGCGGCTGTCAATGAGACAGCCGCTAGAGGAAATAGGGGAAGGCTTAACCCGTTCATAAACATAGCAGTTTCTCTGAAACTGCTATGTTTATGAAAAAATGGGTTAACCCTAGCTGGACCTGGCACCCAGACCACTTCATTAAGCTGAAGTGGTCTGGGTGCCTAGAGTGGTCCTTTAATAATCTCAGCTACTAGGCACAATTCACATCAATTTTTTTTTTTTTTTTTTATAGATTTGTGACTTTTTCTTTCTCCAAGAAGCTGCACTGTGCTAAATATATTAGAAGCTTCAGATACAGATATCTAATTAGCAATCTGCTTAGCACAATGTATTGGATCAACTTGCTCTATAGGAAATAATGGGATACGAAAATGCCATATTTCCACAGTTCCGCTAGTCTACCAGAGGCTGATAGTAGCCACAGCCTGTGTACCATGAGTTTGTGTATGATTCCCAAAGCCCATTCTGCAGCTGCCGTGTCTCCTTTTAGCCTGTGTTGTTATGGGCTTTGATCAAGTGTTCGTTATAAGACGGTGGTCAGCCTTTCCTCACATTCTGGGAACTGTATTGTAACATGTTCAGGCAGATTGAAATCACTGTGTTGGATGTAAAGCAGTAACTTCCAGAGCCACCTGGAATTGTACCGCACACAGATCAGAGCATTGGCCCCAGTAATCCCTGCATGTTTTGTTTTTTTTTTGTTTTTTTTGGTGTGTATTTTGATTTAGATTTTTTTATTATTATTAAGGAGAAAAAAGTACAATAAAGAATGTTTTCCTGATTTTAAGTTATTATTATTATTATTATTATTATATGGTTTATGAATAGTGTTAAATGGTATAGCAGAGTTGATTGTAAGGAAGTCTGTTATACAACCTGGGTCACTTTCTGCTTATGACGCTGGTAAAAAAATAGAAACTGCGGCCCAAAGGGGCCTGAAAGGTCACAGTCACAATATATATTTAGAACACTTGGCTTTTGTCCAACTATATTACTGTTTAGTATATTGACCTTTAATTGGCAAAGTGGAGACATGTCGTCAGATTGGATCTGACTTTCCTGATCAAACTATGGCAGCGTTAATAATAAGTACTCCTGCTTCTAGCTATTGGACAAATTCAAAATACATGTAAATACAAGAGCCCACCCTCTTTCAGACAGTCTGTACTACTGGATCCTCTCATTTACAATTCTCTATCTTCCCCGCCCCCCCGTCACCGGTGGTCTGTCCATGCTCCCACTCCCCACAGGTCTGACGTTGCCCAGTACAAGCAGACATTACAAGGAGGTCTCCCTTGATGTCTCATTTGTTAGAAGGGGTCAGAGCTAACTCTCTGACTTTAGTAGAGAACATTGATATTTATAGCGCTGTTTCCATGAAGTTGTATGAAACTGGTCTTTTTATTACGTGAAGATCTTTCCAGTGGTCGTGGTGGTTCAGGGCTTTTCTTTTATTGTAGAGGTGAGCAACTTACACTTTACTCCAAATCATGTTGATGTTAGGCTTGTTTGGAAACATATTTCATTAAGTGCCTGACACACAGTCCTTGTACTGATGTTGTTTCCAGAGGCAGTTGGGACTCTGTAGTGGTCTACGACTATGTGGCTGGGCTGTTGTTGCTCCTACATGCTATCATTTCACAAAATTAGCACTTACTCTTTACTGGGACAGATCTATGAGGGCAGAAATTTCACAAACTAACTTCGAATCCAATGACTGGGCCAAGTTTAAAGTCACTACGCTCTGCAGTAGCCATGGTAATGCTAGTGTCTTTCTATTGAGATTTCATGGCTAAATGATGGATAACCGGTGAGGCTGAAACACCCGAACCTGTAATTAGTGACAAAATGGTCTGACCATGATAATGCAAAAAGGTTATTTAGATAGACATGCATGAGCACACTAACGTACCAATAAGTGTCTTTAGGAAAGACATGTAACAATATATGCCCACCTACCATAGATTGTAAGTTCATTTGAGCTGCAGAATATATTAGAATATATTAATTACCCTAGCTGACAGGTGTGCCCAACAATGCAATCAAGTTTATAAATGTTTATTACTTATCAAAGATTTTATTGCTTTATTTTGGTTTGTATATTTTAGAGTGCTTGCTTGCTGGTTTAAATAATATTTGTCAAGTGAGATATGTCCCTTTAGTTACCAGTCGTTCGGCAGGGGATGCAAACTCTTGGCTGTGGCCAGTTCAGGTCCTTTTCTTAGCAGCCAAGCTTGGTGTCTGATAAACTGGAATCCTGAAATTCATGGGTGTTTGGTCCATAGGAACTAGATTGTATTCCAAACTTATTCACCAATTTGCTCTGTGGTGCAATCCTCTGTCTTATCACAATATACAGGTAAATAACAGCGAGTCACCTATGAACATATTTTATACCCTTGGCTTTTAAATGGATCAGCAATGGATAAAGAGATCTGTGTGTTTCTGGAAAGTTTTGCAAAGAAGGCCAGTTTGTGGCTCACAAATAACAAAATTGGGTTTTCCTGTGCAAGGTAGATATTTAATCCATTATGGAAATGGATGATGACATATCCCATGGCAAAGAATGGGGACTTAGCAGGCTCTTGGGCTCAGTTGGTCGATATGATACGGATACATTTTACCAGTTTCGGTAATATATATATATATATATATATATCTATATATCTCTATCTCAAGCAATCTGCTGTAATGGAGGGAGTTTGGTGCTTGAATTGCCTCTGAGATACACGGGATCTTGAGATTATTGCATCTCCGTTAGTCTTCCACTAGGTCAGTATTGGCAAAAGAAGCTTGTAGGACCTTCTAAAACTGTAGAATGGTTTACGCAAGCATCACCAGATGTGCTCAATGTAGATGTGCAGCAACATAGTATCTTCCAAAAGGATAAGACTTACAGCACAATATTTGCCTGCTAATTAACCAAGATAGTTTAAAAGGTTCCTCTAAACATCATGTCTTCAGTGATTTTAAAGTGTTTAGGTGCAGATTTTCGCTGTGAAAGGCTACACATACAGAGTTTAAGCACTCTACTACTAGAGGTGTAACTCAACCTTCTGCAGTGTCACTGAGCTTCCACCATGGAACTAGAGTGCTGGACTGGCTAATGACAATCTCTGTGCAAACTTCATTGCATAAAATGTCTGTCAATCATGTGCTTAGAGCGGACAGCTGGTACCAACTCTGCAGAAGCATGTCACTTGACCACCAGGGGGCTTCAGAGTGGGTGGGAACCAAGGTTAAGGTGCAAACCGTTGTTAAATGGTTCACTGCATTACAATGGACCAATGCCAGAGTACTGGCAGTGGGCTTTAGTGGTTACGATGCTTAGAGTAACCCTGTAATGAGACCTGCTGTGAAGGACGTGTCCTCTGCATTTGGAGAGCATTACTATGTGTTGCTTTCTTACATGCTTCAAGCAACTACTAAGCAAACTAGTCTTCAAAACGCCATAGTATGCCAGGCTTCGCCCTACAGGTAATCCCCTGATATCGATGCTCTCTGGTGGTCTGTCAGCTGCTGTGTTTTGCTCTTATATCCCATTGCATGTTCTGGCATAGGAAATGAATCTGTGTCCTGAAAGTAAATTAGGTGAGATATATCAAAGTGAATTTTCAAATTTAAGGCCAGAGTAGTCAATATAGATTATAGAAATTTTGCTTAGAGAATGTTTCAATTTCTGCTCTTTTGATCTTAAATTTGAAATTCACTTCACCTTAAATTCGCCTTTTAGTGAATAACCCTGTATGATGTATGTCCGGACATCTGGAACAGTGCGGTTTCTCAGGTGTTGATATACGGGAGCAGGAGGTGATGAGTGTCTTGCTGAAACAATGTTAACATTGGGTATTTCATGAGTTGCTACAAGTTAAGTCTGGGTTCAAGGCTTATATTTTTTATATATTTTTTTGAGGCTAAAAATTACTTTCATCCTAGCATGTTTGTCGTCTCTCTGCCTCGGGATGTAGGAAAGATCCACGTGAGTTTTTGAACTCCTAATCATGCAGAGCCCATGGGTGTATATGGTTATTGATTTTGTCCTGTACAGCTACAGTGCTGAAAACGATGCACAGGTAGGGACAATTTTATTTACATTATTATTATATATTTATTGAAATCTCCCAGTAAGGTAATATTATTGTCTAACAAGCATTCCTTTGCAGGCTATCGCCCATGGGCAATCTATCCTGCCATGATGTAATGTTTTGTCACACCACAAAGGTCAGGGTTTTGTCTGTTCCGATAGCCGCTGGGAATATTGAACATTTTATTTTGCTTTCCATATTTCTAGCCTTGTTTTCTTCACTACATTGCCTACCTGTAGTTTAACATTCAAAGTACGGCTATCACACAGAATGCCTTAACAGGCCTATATTAAAAATGCCCTTTAAAATATTTTTGGCTTTGAACTAAAGAAATAACTCAAGAAGTTTTCATGGAAAGTTCAGCTGAGTCGATTGAGTTGAGCTACACTTAGCTGCACCTTTTCAAATAATAGGAAAAAAATGTAAAAGGGTCAGAAGCAATCAATATGCCGGTTCAAACAGAATTGCAGTGACTGTGATGTACGCGCAGTTTGTGCACTTTTCTTTGTACTGAGTCACTATGAAGAGCTCAAGCAATAAAAGCCTCAGCCTTTTGAGGAGAGAAAATTAACCAATGAAATCATTAGTATGGATTGAACGCAGGGTCCTGCCTTCCCTGTGTCTTTTTAACTATACAGATTCTTATTCTTTCTGTGCGTGTTCTGCCGTCATTGATGAGAATTGCCAGTTGGTGTGAATTTATGCATTTTGTGATCTGATGATAGAAATTTGGTACTCACAAATAACTAGCTCTAGCTAGAGAAATGACCTGCAGAATAAGATAAGTATGTTAATCTGTGGGGATATTTATGGGATAATAATAGTAACAGTGAGAATTGCCCACTAATTCAATTCTCAGATCCCAAAGAACGTTTATCGTGTTAAGTGGAATGTATTTCATATAATAATATCACAATGTATAAAAATAGATTTTATTTATGATAACCAATAATTAACAAATAATATTATGTAACATGCGTGACAATAATCAATGAATATTCAGTATAAAATGGTATGCAATACAAAGAAATGGGTATTACGTTACAATGGCTAAATAGCATTTCCTGTCAAGAATTATTTATGACTATCTTTAACACAGGCTGAAAGTGAAACTTTTCACAGGAAGAACAGAATTCCTCAGAGTGCAGCGTAAGGTCGTAAAGTTTAGCAGACAGTTAGAATAACCCTTTCAATGCTGGCTAGATCTCCTAGGTAGTTAAGATCTATTCTTATGTAATTTTAAATAAAATAATATTTAACCCAGTTCATTAGCCATTTCCTGAAAACAATCCAATAAGAGAATCTACATATTATATAAGCAGATTTTTAATTTGTCTAAAAGATATCTATCTTAAATTAGAGCAAATCAATACACCTGGATAAAAACAGCGGTATGCTAACACGTGATAATATCACATCAATATATAATTATTCTTAATTCCACCTGCAGAATGGAATATTTATAACTATATATTCTTAGTTAACTAAGATTTCTTAATATGGAAATCTGACCGTGCTTTATCCAGTCATATATAATGCTATTAATATAATTTAATTAATTTAATTAATTAAATGAAACCAGTATAATTACCAGTTGAGTAGATATTTCATCCGATTGGTAGTCTCTCTGCATGGAGGTGTTGGTTAGAAAGTCAGTAAATTCTAAGTGTTAGAGTTTTAGGAGTAGAGTGTTAGTCTCAGATGTTGTCCGAGTTGGAGTCCCCAAACTTCCAATTCCTCTCTCCTCTCCTTTGCATATCTTGCATCTGCCTCCTCTCGTATATCTTGTATCCTCTATCTTCCCTTTGTCCTAACTTTTAAAGGGCCAGACTCTCTGTACGTCATCAGTTGATAACCCAATAGAAGCACTAGAGGTGTGGTTATCTTCCAGATCGCAAATTAGTTATTTGGTCTATAGAGGGCAGTCTTGTCCCACTAAACATACCTATCCAGGAAAGAGTTAACTTTTCCTGGTGGCTATTTTGACGTCATTTTGGCCTATCTAGATAGTGGCTATAACTTACGTATCCTTCAAAGATCAAAGGGGTTCTTAAATTTTGTCCAGACTATGTGTCTGCAAATCTGAGTTTTTTTCTGATATGGCAGATCATGAACTAAGTTTACCCTTTTCCATACAATGGTACCTTATATATATAGACAGTTAAATATTAAATTTAATCTTCTCTGTCACAATTGTCTGGGTTTAGATTTGATTATATTCCATTAGCATTAGACAGTCTGTCCAACCCCCTTCCTTATCACTTGGCTTGTATATACTATGCATTCCTCAGCTCTGGGAAAGTGGTTAGCTTATAGATAGAAATATAGTGTCTTTCTGTTAACTCGAAATAACAAAATGGAGTCTGGTCTGTTCAGAGTGACTCAGAATATACACTTTTAGTTTCTATCATAGCACAAAATGTCTGCCGATATAAATACCCTGACAAATCATAGAATTTATTAGTGTCCCAGAATCCTTTCCACCTATTGTGATTAAAAGGTGAAAACGTAGCGCCGAGCCAATGCTTTGCCACACATTTGTAGAATCGATGGGTTACTACATTCTCCAAATCTGTGAATTAATTTCCCCTTGGCGTAGTGCTTACTGAAGTTTTTTGAATAAAAAGGAACTTTTATAGAAAATATCCAGTTGTGTCTAAACTAGGCCCTTTTTTAGGTCCGATACAGATACCGACCAACGGTGGCCTTCCAATAGCCAATAACTATGGGAACAATAAACCCCTGTCTGTATATTTTATTATTTATTTTGGCTACTCTAGCAGTCAACAGCCCAAAAATGTTTCTATGTAATCGCTTGGATTACAAATTAATTTCACCCTGAAAGCCTTACACAAGGCTGTACTTGCAGCTATACACCCACCTCGTTACTCAGGTGACACAGATTAGTATTCTTCTCCCAGCATGTGCAAGGACTTGGACCTCCTTTGCCAGTTCTCAGCATTCTGGAAAAGATCCAGAACTGCAGTTGTGTCCACAACCCCACATACAGGTGATACTCGAAAAATTATAATATCGTGCAAAAGTTCATTTATTTCAGTAATGCAACGTAAAAGAGGAAACTAATATATGAGATAGACGCATTAAATGCAAAGTAAGATAGTTCAAGCCGTGATTTGTCATAAGTGCGATGATTATGGCTTGCAGCTCATGAAAACCCCAAATCACCAATCTCCGTAAATTAGAATATTGTGAAAAGGTGCAATATTCTAGGCTCACAGTGTCCCACTCTAATCAGCGAAGTAAGCCATTACACCTGCAAAGGGTTTCTGAGCCTTTAAATCAGGGGTCCTCAAACTCCGGCCCCCCAGATGTTGCTGAACTACATCTCCCATGATTCTTTGAATTACATAGATAGCAAGAGAATCATGGGAGTTGTAGTTCAGCAACATCTGGGGGGCCGGAGTTTGAGGACCCCTGCTTTAAATGGTTTCTCAGTCCGGTTCAGTAGGAATCACAATCAAGGGGAAGACTGCTGACTTGACAGTTGTGTAGAAAACCATCGACACCCTCCATAAGGAGGGAAAGCCTCAAAAAGTAATTGCGAAGGAAGGTGGATGTCACTCCAGGCACCCAGACCACTTCTGCCCATTGGAGTGGTCTGGGTGCCAACTCCCACTACTCTTAACCCTGCAACTGTAATTATTGCAGTTTTTTTTATAAACTGCAATAATTACATTGCAGGGTTAACTCCGCACTTCCTGATTCATAGCAAAGATTTTCTTTGCTAGAGCGTCGCTGGACATCCTCACGCTGTGTGAGGACCTCCAGCGTCGCTCAATTTCCCATAGGAAAGCATTGAAAATCTTTTTCAATGCTTTCCTATGGGGAGACCTAATGCCCAATATACCCAATTGCGTGCCGCGCATGCGCATTAGTTTTCCTCAGCCGGCAGGCGGGATCAGTCTCGCCCACCTGTTGACGTGATTACTGGGAGGAGCGACGCCGACCGGAAACCACCGCCGAGGGACATCGGCGGGGTCTCAGATAAGTGACCTGAAGGGTTTTTCACCCCTTCAGCTACCTGGGATGGGAGGTGGGAAGGAGAGGGTACCTGCAGTGCCAGGAAAACGGATTGTTTTCCTGGCACTGGAGTTTTCCTTTAATAGAAAGTTATGTGGAAGGAAAAAGTGGAAGAAAAAGGTGCACAAGCAGCAGGCATGACCGCAGCCTGGAGAGGATTGTCAGGAAAAGGCCATTCAAATGTGTTGCGGACTTTCACAAGGAGTGCACTGAGGCTGGAGTCAGTGCATCACCACACACAGACGGATCCTGGACATGGGGTTCAGATGTCTTATTCCTCTTGTCAAGCCGCTCCTGAACAACAAACGTCAGAAGCGTCTTACCTGGGCTAAAGAAAAACAGACCTGGTCTGTTTCTCAGTGGTCCAAAGTCCTCTTTTCTGATGAGAGCGACTTTTGCATCTCATTTGGAAACCAAGGACCCAGAGTCTGGAGGAAGAATGGAGAGGCACACACTTCAAGATGCTTGAAGTCCAGGGTGAAGTTTCCACAGTCTTGTGTTGATTTGGGGAGCCATGTCATCTGCTGGTGTTGGTCCACTGTGCTTCATAAAGTCCAGGGTCAACGCAGCCATCTACCAGGAGATTTTGGAGCACTTCATGCTTCCTTACGCAGACTAGCTTTATGGGGGTGATGACTTCATTTTCCAACGGGACTTGGTACCTGCCCACACTGCCAAAAGCACCAAAGCCTGGTTCAGTGACTGTGGGATTACTGTGCTTGATTGGCCAGCAAACTCACCTGACCTGAACCCCATAGAGAATCTATGGGTCATTGCCAAGAGAAAGATGAGACATGAGACCGAACAATGCAGAAGGGCTGAAGGCTGCTATTGAAGCATCCTGGTCTTCCATAACACCTCAGCAGTGACACAGTCTGATCGCTTCCATGACACGCTGCATTGAGGCAGTAATTGCTGCAAAAGGGGGCCAAACCAAGTGCTGAGTCCATATGCATGCTTATACTTTTCAGAGGTCCAATATTGTTCTATGTACACTCCTTGTTTTATTGATTGTGGATTTGGGGGTTTCATGAGCTGTAAGCCATAATCATCGCACTTATGACAAATCACGGCTTGAACTATCTTGCTTTGCATGTAATGAGTATCTCATATATTAGTTTCCCCTTTTACGTTGCATTACTGAAATAAATGAACTTTTGCACGATATTCTAATATTTCGAGTATCACCTGTAGGAGTCTGATCAGTAGTACACCTATAACCTCCATAGTGCATCTAGCAACACAAACTGGTGGTTAGTACATGCTGGACCGGGTCTGGCATTTCCTTCACAGAATGAATGTACAACAAAAGCTGGATAATACATACATAGACTGCTGGGGCCAGTGCCAGCTGTTTCTTAACTCAAACAAATGCTGGTGAGTGCTTTTTATTATTTTTTTTTAGCCATAAACGGAGGAATTCTTTACAAGTATGAGGTGAGTGCTAGCTTGGAGTGGCCCCCTTTAACGTGGACATTTCATCTGGAATCTTCATTACGTAAGTGAGTATTAATGACAAAATTAATATTTTCATTTATTTAAAAGGATACTCTAGGCACCAAAACAACTTAATCTAAAATAAATTGTTATGGTGCCAGCAGCCCCCAGTGGCGATGTCCACTCCAACCCCCATGCTGCATCAGGCTTCTGATTGGCTGAGGGTGTCACCTGACTGCTCTCAGCCAATCAGTGACACTCCATTCACAAAACTGGCTTAGAAAATGTACGTTTGTTTCAAAGACAGTTTTGTGAATGAGAATCACTGATTAGCTGTGAGCATCAGCTGCACTCTGCACTTCATGAATCTTCAGAAAAGTCAGAAGCCGGATGCCACTATGGGGGAGTGGACATCGCCGTTGGAGGCAACTTTGAGGTTAAACCTTTCATAGTGTCTCCGGTGGACTTCTGGCACCATAACAACTTAATTTAGTTTAAGTTGTTTTGGTGCTTGGAGTGTCCCTTTAAGCTATGGTATGTTTGTTTGCTTCGGAAAAAACCCAAAACGTTTTTCATTGAATGGTTAAAATGACAGGGCTACTGCACCGGTTAAAATAATGTGGTCTGCGTGACTTTAAAAGAAGCTGCGGTGAGCATATGATGTCAACAGTCAATCTTAACCAGTGGGTGAAACAGACAAGCTGTTTAATTCCAAAATTCTGTGCTGCAGGGTAGAAGAACCTGTTTGATTGGACTGGTCATGTCAAATCCCTTATTCACAGAATTATATAAAACATAATTACAGGTTTAGAGCTTTAAGTTAGAGTGTCCCATGCTGTGACACTGCAGAAGAGGCAGCTCTTCTCCCATCAGGAGTGGGTAAACCTGGTGATCACCCTTAAAGGAACTCTATAGCGTTGGGAATATAAAGGTGTCTCTGCACTGCTGTCCCACCTACTTGGTTGAGATCATAGAGATGGATAATTTCAGCCAATCAAATGCTTTCCATAAGACAAGGAAAGCATTGGGGGGGTTTGTGCGCATGCGCAGAAAAATGCTGCTCTGCGACAGTAAAATGGCGTCTATGAGACCATCTGATTGAAATAGTTTTACTCTGTTATTCGGAGGAAGTGCCTCTGTCAGGTTGAGTGAAGAAAACTACAAGTTGCTGTTGAAGGTTTGAAGAATAAAATAAAGTGGAAATCACTTTTTATCCAGACTCACTTAGCCTTTGCTCCACTGTATAGTGGTACGCTGCAGCTTGTGCAGTCCCAAACACCAGGAGTTGTATGAAGTGCTGGAGGCCATCCATTCAAAGAGTAGATTTGCCCTGTGAATAACTGGCTCAAAGCATTATGGACACTAACAAGAGACGGGCATCTGCTTTCTTGATGGGATGTCAACCTCTTTGGGAAACATATATGCAGAAATCTGTGGGACGTGATATGTGCATCTCTTCCCGAGAAACACGACTGTATTATTCATCGATTATCTTTTATGATAAGAACAAACCCTATGGAATAATAGATGCAGCAATATTTCCATGCTACAAAGTGAATTGTCCTAATGACATGAATGAGAGCGTAATGGCATCTTGCCGCAGCTTCTGAAACAGCTCAAACATTAGCTGAAAAAAAGTTTGAGAAAAGTATTTTTACAGATGAAAGAAAAAAAGATCTTACAGTCTGGATTTCAAACATTTTCTGAAAGATCCTAGCAAGTAATGCAAAGTGAGGGGCTGCTTGCATTTAGTACTTTGAGAAAGGTTTATTGCGGAGACTTATTTGAGGGTCTCTAGTGCTGGCTGTTTGCGGTTATTAGGGTGAAGATTGGAGAATGTCAGATATATATTATTTCTGCGTATCTCTAACAGTTTTTTTTCACTCTAGTCCAAATACCCCAGTTTTAAATGGGTGAGAACAACCCATTTCTGTACATAGGGGCATTCAGACTAAAAATCTGTACATAAAACACAAAATTGATCAATGTCTGAATTGTACAATTCTGGCTCTGAAGGAGGTAGGCTTGTGTCTAGATTTCAGTCTGACTGAATGCTGCTATAAACTCAGACCTGAATTTGAAATGTGCAGACTTTTTGCCCACTGAATTACAAAAAGATGTAAGTAGCACAAGGGTTAATGTCTTGTTAGACACCCTTTTCAAAAAAAAAAAAAAAAAAATGCGGGATCCATATGATCCCCATCTAAGTATAGGAAGGTTTATTATCTCCTTGTGCCCACACTTGCCATGCTGTGGGTGAGGCATATCTGATAAATGGTGGGCAGCAGATGACCCTGTACTGCCAAAGAGGCCCCACTGACATTGGATACATCATATGGGAATGGGCATGTCACTGTCCAGCCCCCACCTGTGAGTTTGCATTCAGTATTTGGTAAACGTTGATCTAATATAAATTCTATGATTTGCATAGTCTGAAATGTCTGATTTGAAACCAGACATCTAATATTACTGACCAAGTGGTGTTTGTTCTTATGTTTAGCAAATATGAGAATTGCAAATCTGATAATTTTAGGTGTTTAGTGAATTATCG